CTAAACATATTGAACATTGTAATGAAACATACAAACATGGTAATATGGAAATGGAAATGTCAATTTTTTAAATTCAATAGGTGATGGTTTTTTTAGGCAATTTTGACACATTTATTCCCAATTCTTCAATGCTCATTCTAAGAAAATAAGTAGCATTAAGACCATCAGCATAATGAAAAGCACGGTATAATACAGAGAATTACTCAGCAGGGTTTGTTGAAAGGAAGAAATTTTCAGTACTGACCATCTGGAAAGCAGCAACGTTGAAAGTGTACGTGGGATGTGTTTTTCATATCATCTGTGTATCAGATATCTACAATTTTAAAAAGTATGGCTTTTTATTAGCCAAAAGAAAACAGTTTTGTTTTTAATTTTTAGACTAGGTTTTGAATTTTTCTTATTTTGAAGTTGTAAATTCAATCTGAGAAGAGTATGAAAATGCACATCATCTGAGTTTAATAGATATGGTATTATAATGCTTGAAGTTTTCCACCTGTACCAAGGCTATGCACACATTCAAGCACTGTATCCCTATGTAACACACAGATGTCTAACTGGCATATATATCCAGACTTAAACATTATCTAAAAGCAGATAAAAATCATAAAGTAAATTTGGCACTTGAGTCTACTGTCATGGCACTCCATGGCTGTAATGGGAATAATTCAGCCACGCTCCTTCACTTCCCTCTCCCTAGCACCCTGCCCCTCTGCTTCCTTTTGTCCCCCAGCCACTTGATCTTTTCCTTCATTCTCCTCTAAGTAAGTCTTAAGCCTATCAGTGATACTTAAACCTAATGAAGCTTCTGATCCCTATTAATGATGGTAAAAATAGAACTTACGTAACCTTGAGGGTGCCATGAATTTCAAAACACATTTTATATGCAAGTTTAATAAGGTTATTAGGGCAAACTCTTAGAAAGCTTTTCACTTATGCTCTCTCTTCCCTTTTGCATATGTGCAACCAGGTCAAGCCAGCTTGAGTTCTCTGTGTATGTGGTTCATAGCACTTCTGAATTCAAGTCCACTAAAGTAAAGATTCAGTTAGACATTATTCCAGAGACAAACTTTAGCCACTTCTCCTTAGAAATGATAGGAAGTTACGGGTCTATAGTTAGGAGATAGGCATTTGGATGTAATAAATTCTCTGGAAAGGTCCCTCTTCATCCAATTCAAATATTCTCCTCCCTTCAAACCCCAGATCAAACAGCACCGCTACCAGAGCCTGCCCATCCTCTCCCATTCACCCTGACTGCCACTGCTTAAGAACTTGTATAAGCCACTGCAGCCACTAATTTTAGTCCTTATTTATGGTCCATCTAAAATTCTTATTTAAATGTGTCATGTTTGAAATTTGCTTAATATGCACTTGAGCTTCTTAAAAGTAGAACTTCTGTATCCTCTACCTTACCTACCACAAGCAAATACTGAATGAATATGGTCAACTGTGGAAGGCATGAAAGAGGCACCAAAACAATGATGTATATTTGGCTCTAGAGAAATGTTTTCACTTCTCCCATCTGCTCAGATTACCCCTCATTTTTCATCCCTCCAACTCTTGCCAGTTGTGAGTTCTTTAGGTGATCTGTAAATAAAAGGTAGTGTGCAAATTGCAGAGGGATTTTAAAACTTCATTTGTTCAGGCTTGCAACTGAAGGCCAAGAGAAGACAACTACAACAGGTTCTTCCCTGTGGCATGCTCAAGTATTCAAAGAAAGAACCCGGCAGGAGGAGGGACACAAAGGTCCCTTCCAATGCCAACAGAGACCCAGATCGTGGTACTGTAGATCTGCCTTTGGCTTTTAGCTCCTCTAATTTAGACAAACAGTTGTTTGGCTTCTTTTTTTTTCTTTGTTTGTTTCCCCTTTTTTTCCCCAGTACTGAGGCTTAAATCCAGGGCCTTCACACTAAGCTGCAGTTCCAGCCCTTTTAAATTTTTATGTATTTATTTTATTTTGAGACAGGGTATTGCCAAGTTGCCAAATTGCCCAGATGAAGTCCAAACATAAAATCTTCCTACCTCAGCCTCCCAGAGCGTGCACCACCACATCTGAGTTTTTGTTCCCTTTTTCAACTGCCACATATTTATTTTACTACAGTATGTATTTATCTTTTACGGCATTATTTTACCTACTCTAAAATTTTATCTACCTCTTTTTTCTTTGAAATGAAGAACAGGAAGTGAGTTAAGGGGACTGGTATCAGGAGATATCTTGCCCTCTTCAAGGGAAGTTTAACAGCCTTTGGACTCCAGTTAGCTCCTTGTTCAGTATCAAGGATGGGATCTCCATTATCATACAATCCGCCTCTAAAATCAGCTTAGCAGGAAAGGCTGACATTGCCCCATCTACCCTCAACCATTATCCTTGGAAACTGAGCTGAACATCAAGCTGACAGTGTTACCTGCTCCAGGATCTTGTCAAGGAGCTCAGGATGACAGAAGGAATATACTGCTCTTACACAAAATAGCAAATTAAATAAATAAAACATAGTAAACAAAAACACATGCTGTTCAATATACATACTCACATTGTTCGTATCGCCCAAGTAGTTTGTATTATATAGAAAAACTAAAACATATTCTTATCAGGGGATAATCCTTTGGAGTTCACTTAATGGAAAAAATCCAGTGGACTTAAATATCTCCATAAAACTCTTTGGCAGAGACATTACACAGGAGCCATAATGAAATTATTATACCAAGCCTATTATCCCACTCTCTAAATTACATGGTATAATCCCAGCCATCAAATTCTAGGAAATATTTCACTTTTATTCATGGGCAATTTCAATATGAAACCAAGCTTTAAAAGGAAAAAGGGAAGCACAAAAAATCTACTCTTACTCCCAATAAACTGGGAAAGAAAAAGTGAAAGAAGCTAAGGAAAAGATATCATTCTCTCAGACTAGAAAGTTCAGTGAAATCTGAAAAACAAAATGTCATATGCAAACTGGAGTAGCTGAAATGCTGTAACACAACAGTGGATTCAAAATGGTTTATTACCATCAACAGATGAATGGATAAAGAAAATGCAGTATTTATACATACAGAGTACTACTCTGCCATACAAAAGGATAAACTTGACTTATTTGTAGGAAAATGGATGCACCTTGAGACTATAATGTTAAATGAAGTAACTCCATCACACAAGCTTAAATACTGGATGGCTTCTCTTAAATGAAAAAAATCTGTATATAATAAAAGATAAGATAAAAGAAAAAAAGGAATAGGAAATTCCTAGGTGATAGGATAATAGGAAAAAAGAGAGAAAAAAGGTGTTGTAATCCAGTGTGGACAATGTATCTAAAAGTACCCTGACTTAATACAATTGTCTTACACATTTTATATGTTCTTTAGTTTTCAATCTGTATATATGATAATTAACTTTATAAGGTGTTATAAATAAATGAATCTGAGGGGCCAGGGATTTAGCTCAGTGGTTACACTGCCTGCCTTGCAAGCGGAAGGACCCGAGTTCGATCCCCGGTACCAAAAAAAAAAATAATAATAATATAAAATAAATGAACCTGATGCTGGAAAAATAAAAATAAGGTAGAGGGAAGGGGGGAAAAGAACTGAAATGTGTTATGGACATGTACCAATTTCCTACAGTGAATGTAGTCATTATGTACTACAAACATGTACTAATAAAAATTTAAAAACCCAAAATGGGTTATTAAATTAATATAAACAAAGACCTGGTGATCTTTATGGAAAGTAAGGTAATGTGTATAATCTGTATCTTATGGTGAAATCTAAACCAATTTTTGGTAGCTTAAATATTACTTTCCCATTAACGTGAAAAAAAGGTCAAAGATGCTCAATCTTCAACAGGCACTTTTTCTCTGTTAAATTCCCAGATAATTTAAGGAAATACTTATATTCAGGGTTGTGGCAGTGCTGGCCCTGCATCTGCACAAACCAAAGAGTGGATTTATCCTCAGTGTTTGTGCTCCAAATGCCTCACACCTCCTATTCCAGTCCTGGCTCTGCTCTAGACCTCCATACCCACTCTGTCCCTGTACCTGGGGATATACTGTATTAAGAATAAACAAATTTGGGAAACATCATGCTAGTAGTCCACTGATATTTTGTGTAAGACATCAAGAAGAAATCCTGTACATTTTAGCTTGAAGGTAAATCAAGGCTTTAAGATTCAATGGTAGATGGCCACTGAAGACCAATGGCAAACCACATACGGTAATGCATGCAAATAATTCCAGCTACTCAAACTGCTGAGGCAAGATGATCATAATTGCAAGGTCACCCTGGGCAATGTAGTAAGACCCTGTCTCAAAATTCAAAACAAAATTAAAAGCTCTGGGGATGTAGTTCAGTGGTGGATCATTTGCTTAGCAAGCACCTGGCCCTTGGTTCCATCTCAGTACAACAACAGCAACAACAAAAATGGCACATGGTGCAATGGAAACTAACACTTTCAGGGATCTCTCTGATATTAGCTTAATAGCCTCCTGCAATCCACACACCTCAAGCTTGCGATTTATCATTCTTTCTACTTGAGGTTTTCTTTGATGAGGAAATTTACAGGCTCTATGCAAGAGGATGTCTTGAATTTGTGGGAAATTAAAATAACATTTGTTTAATATTATTATTATTAGCCTGGTGTAGAGGCACACATCTGTAGCACTCTGGGATTACAAATTCCTAAATTCGAATGCAGCTTCAGCAATTCAGTGACTTAGGGAGACCCTGTCTGCAAATAAGAAATAATAAAAAAAAGACTGGGAACGCAGCTCAATGCAATGGCCCTGGGTCCAATTTTTAGTATCACAAAAGTAAACAGAATAGAATGGAACAGAATGCAATACAATACAAACATTATGATAATTCTATTTTAGATTTTTTCCAAACTATCTTCCATTCAACAAAAGGATTCTAAACATAATCCCTGTATTTCAGGAGCATCTGAAGAAATGTGTCCACATACAAATATCTACGTATACTCAGAAATTAACAAGTAAAAGTTCATGTTTGCCTACCTCCTCTGCCAAATATAGATGCAGCAAAGGTTCATCCATCCCAGGAAAAGCAAGATGAATACACTAAGTCCAAATATCCGCATCACCTGTGTAGACTCTGTTGGTGTAATTATAATCTGTTACTTTTATGACTTAAGTAAGTGAGGCAAATGTGAGCTCTTTCATAAAGTCTTTATAAAAAATCTATCAGTTAATAAAGTAAAATGAGGATATTCTTATATGACGGGTAAATATCCTTACTGCTCCATAAGTAGAATGCATAGTATATATTTCTTCCTATGCCCTAAGTGTGCATTTGTTGTGGCCATATGTTATACAGCCTAGAGTACTTGAGAAGCAAATTAATCTATGAACCATTAACTTGGTAAAGCGCTTCTTAAATGTTTACTTCCAGATTACTAAACAAGGAATCAAGAATTTGCAGATGAATAAGTATATTTTAGTCTCCCATTCATTGGAAAATATATTCTGATATGATTGGGGAATTGTAAGTCACCATTCAATTTTTTCCTTCTAAAAGAACCAAATGTCTCTTCACACATAATATAAAGAGTAAACTGATGAATTATAAATATCAAATGACAATGTTAAAACAGCAATACTATATTCATGATCAGGTTTTAATTTTCATTATTAATATTACATGTTCTACAAAGAGTTGTAATCAAGTAGGGACTGTATTAACCTAAGATACTGCTTTACATACATCCTTTTTATAGTGTTTGTTAGGGTCCCTTCACATTAAATCCGTTTGTCTTGGGACCAGCTAGTAATACGTCCTTGCTATTCAAACAAAGGAAGCCAATACTATAGTTCTCAGAACTTTGGGAAGAAAAACAATCTTAAGAACATAAATCAAAAACATCTAAACAAAGAAAAGTTACTAAACAAATCTTAACAAGAAACATTCAAGTCTGCTGTTGATGCCAAGACACTGAAGACAAAGTAAATATGAAGAATCCTACTCAAGAAAAGAAGCTAGGAAGACAAAAGTAAACTAAGGCATGCCCAATTGGTATTATTGGGACTCCGCAAAAGATACTCTGAAGTGAAGGCCCCAGAAGCAAATTTTCTTTCTGACCTTTTCTGGTCCTGTCTCCTGCTCCCTTCTGCCCTCAAGAAAAGATATAGAAACCACAATTTCTCTTACCTAAGACAGCTGATAGAAATTAGAAATCCTTTTCCCCAAAGCAAGCTATAAGCCTAAATATATTACTTTTATCTTCTACCTTTCTGTCTTGGTGCTAGTCATAAAGAAACTCTCAGACTTACCTTGGCTGAAAGTGTAAGTTAAAAGATTCCCATTTCACAAACGGTCTTGCCCCATACTCAGGAGGAAAGAATGTTGGACAGAAAGCCCAAGAAAAAATCTGAGCAGACAGGCCTTGCTGAGTTCGCCCATTAAGTCTATTAGCACTAAGTCATGGCCCTTATGTCCAATCATATCTCTACGTGGTTTCCATGATTCATGGAATCTAAGCATAAAAATGGACAGCTCATCTTACATTTTTGGGTTTTCAACCTGATGGCTCCTGTGTCACATAAAATTATGGTCAAATAAATTTCTTATGCTCTTCACTTAATAATCAGTCTTTTGCGACACAGCTGTCATCCGTGACCTTTTTATGACGAGCATGAAAGGGATCATCCCCTATTCTACCTCTACAGTATCTTTCCCCAGGCACTGAAAGTTACACATCATAGAACCTGGAGCTCTTGAGACAAAAGGCAGAGAATGACTAAAGCAAAAAAAAAAAGTGAGACTAATTCTGAATGGTCACAATACATCCACTAAGCAGAAACTGCTCATGAATATAGAGACCTGACTACTTCAGGAGAAAGGACAGCATTACTTTAGGGCTAAGAGCTCTCTCAAAGTGTTAAGCTTGGAGATCCAAATATGAACTTAAACCATTTACTCAATTTATAAAAAGAGAAACAAAATAAGTGAAACAGGATGAACTTACTATCTCTTAATGGGACAAAGCAATTCCTGGTCACAGATGTTGAAAAACAGCATTTGGATTTCAAACATTCAGTCTCAGTAAGGTTTAGCAGCTCATTGCAAGGTGTTATGTTTTGGTTCTCCTTTATCATGCAAGCTTTTAGAAACAGAAAATCAAAAAAGAAGATTCAGCATGATTAATAAACACTTGGCCTAATTAAATAATTACTGCAATCCAAAAAGAAGAAAAATATGTAAGCTGGTACATTCAAAAGACTAAATGACATACAAATAATGATGAAAGCTGAAAAAAAAAGAGTGAAAATAAGAGTTAAAAATTACCACAAAGTTGTTTAACAGCACATTTTTAAATTTTAGGTGAACTATAGAAAAATACAAATTGTCAACAGATTAATAAAACTTTTAAAATAAATAAATAAAAGGACAATAAATCATTAGCTGTATGGTGGTGTTATGGTTTATATCTAGATGTTCCCCTAAAGCCTTATGTGCTCATAGGTGGAGCTTTGGGAGGTGATTGGATCATGGTGACATGATACTCATCAGGTGGATGAGTCCACTGATGAGTCTGTAGCTAAATGTGACACTGGGAGGTGAAGCCTGGTTGGAGGAGGTGAGTCACTGAAGGCTTGGCCTGGAAGAGTCTATCTCCCTCCTCCCTCAATCTCT